TATATATATATATATATATATATATATATATATATTGTGTGTGTGACAGAATTTTGAGCACAAAATATGTTAAAACAAGGCATACCCTAAATCCTTAGAATCTTTCCAGTCCAATACTTTGTATCTTAGGAGAACAAATAACATCAAGTTGTAAGGAATTCTATTGATCTCTAAACTCAAATCACTAACAAAATTAAATTATAGCTGAAATGTTCAGATTTAGTTTTCTTTTGATATATATTTTATTACTTCCGATACAATACCTTATCTCCTCTCACATATTAGCTTTTCCAGATTTTGTGCTGCCCTCCTTATGGGCATCTTTTTTGCTTGCTACTAGCCTTAAGGCTCCCACCTAAACTCACAGGTTTTCTTGTGCTATTGCTGCACTGTAGCATGCAACAGCCTTCCACCAAGAGGAATGCTAAACACCATCCTAGCAAAGTTGATTCCTTCTATACTGATTGTTCAATCATCATTTCTCGATTTGGTATTTGTACGTTGTAACAGGTCTTTTTTCTCTTGTGAACTTTTCATATATAGGCATTTTTTTCATGGAAGTATCTATAAAGAAGTTACCTGTTGTGGAAGTATTTATTGTTGGATTTTCACTTTCCAATGTTTTCAGCACCTACAGATTTTGTGGCCTTTTATTTCCACTTTATTATTTCATAAGTGTCAGTAACTTCCACTTCGCCTGGCTTAGGACAAAACATTGTTCACGCTAGTCTAACAACTACATTAGTGTCAGATTTGGCTTTGTCTGTTGGGAGAAGTGATGGCTTTTGTGAGACAGGTGGTGGAGTCTTTCATTAAGCCTGGGCCTTCTTTTGTACCTGACATACCCCCGCCTATGTTTCTCATTTGTGACGGAAGAGATTTTGGCAGTTTTTTTCCAACCATCTACCTTTGCTTCATCTTATACTCATGCTGCTTTGAATTTACCTAAGCCTTTTTTGTAATTTTGGGGCTGAGTTTTCTAGGTATGTTCTTTCCTTCTCTTTGTAATTCATTCCCTGCTTCTTCCTTTCATATTCTATACTTCCTTTCCAGATATGTAAGTCCGTATTCAATTACTTTTTACCACTGCTATTGTGCATGCATGCCTCATCCTTCCTTTGTTAACTCATATGACTAAGCATGACTTCATGCTGTACTGCCTTTCTTCGACTCCTACAATCTGGAGTATTTTCTTTAGACTTGGAGGTCATATCCTCTACCTTTTGTTCATCTTTCTTAGGCTTAAGTTTTCCCACCTTCGTCTTACACATTCTACCCTTTTCTGTTATTTTTCCTATATTCACTTTCTGTCCATGGTAATCCCATGTGGAGTTTTCAATGGATGCTCTTTCAATTATCTTCTCCATAGTGGTGTGTTTATCTTCCTTAGCCTTATCACTTCATTTTTGGTTGATCCATTGTTAGAGTTTGTTGGGGCATGATGCCCTTGTTAATCAAGTGCTTTTGTCTCCTTTTTGTCTGGCTCCTTTCATCTGTCTGTGTGATTTTACTGGAGTGTTTGTTTTTCAGGAGTCACAAGTTGAGGCCACATGCCAATGTTACTCCTTATCCTCACTGGTTTACCATCTCTCTCATGTTTCTTATTTGCTTCTCTCTGTCTCCTGTCTTCCTGCTTCCTCCTCTTTCCTTGTCACCACTTCCCATTCTTCTCTTCCAATCTGTCCTCCCACTGCTCATAGATATCAGTGTTGTCAGTCTTGGTGGTGACTATCCTATAGGCTTAAAATCAGTCAAGCATGTTTTGTTCAGTTTATGGATCTTTACCTTCCATTTGCAGCCAATTGTTGAGTACTATGAGTTCTGTCAGAGATTTTTCCCTCTCCTCCTCCACTGTCTCCTGTTCCCATTAATTTCCCTCCTCTAAGGGATTCTATTTCTTGCCAACATCGATCCATAGCATTGTTGGACCTAAAGGCTAAAAGTGCTATCTGATGGATTTTTCATTCATTTCCAGGATTTATTCTTATCTTTTCATGGTTCCCAAAGAATTCATAGATAGGCATCTAGTCTTAGATATTTCACATCTCAGTCAACTTTTAGACCTTCCTCGATTTACCATGAAAAATTTTCTTTCCCCACAGTGGTCTTTTGCCCCAGGTCTTGGGATGACCAAGGTGGACATCTGTGGTGCTATATTTTTCATATGGCTCCATCTCAAAAAGCCTCCTACAGTCATCCTCTTCTCATCCTTTGGGGGGTGAAGCATCTGGGTTGATTGGTCAACCTGGAAAAGTCACATCACACATTCATTTAGTTTCTCATTCATTTTGGTATTTTTCTGTTTGCACCTTCAAAAGGCCCAGCCTTTTCCTCTTCTTCTGATGGACATGGAGCAATTAGTTTCCCATGTTCTATCCTCTCCTTCTCTCACTGTGTGGAAGGTTCTCTCTCTCCTGTGGACTTGGACATCCATGAAATTCCATATCCCCTTGGGTTGTGTTCATTTTTGAAGTCTAAAATGGACTCTGCACAATTACTGGATTCTTGCTTGGGATCCCTTGTCCTCCACCATTCTCCTTCCTTACTCAAAGACTTCACCTGCTGAATTGGTAAAACCAATACCACAGAGGGTGTTCCTTTTCCTTCCTCTCGTCTGGGTCTCCATATGTTTAGATATTTCCTTGTCAAGATGGGGGGCATATCTCGACTCTCAAGTGAATTCAGATCGGTAGTTTTACCACAAATTTCCATTCATATCAATCTCTTAGAACTTTTGGCAGCACGTTGAGGCTTGGATCATTTTCCTATGATGGTTCATGCACATACATTCAACTCTACAGTTGTCTCCTATATCAATTGTCACGGGGGCACTCTGTCTCACTCTCTCTGTTTCCACACTCTCAACCTCCTTTTTGGGCCCATTCTTTACAAATACGTCTAATAGCTTGTTATGTTCCAAGTACCCTGAATCTTGTTGTGGATTGCCTCTAGAGGCCAGACAAGATAGTACCTACAGAGTAATACCTTGACCCTCTGATGTTCAAATGGCTCTTTTTTTCATCTGGGTATTCCTTTTCTAGATCTTTTTGTCACTCATTTGAACTCCATACTTCCCTCTTTTCTGGTCCCCTGTTCCTCTTCCCTCAGCTCTAGCTGTGGAGGCATTCAGTCAGGACTGGTCCAAATTTTTTCTACGTGTACCCTCCTATTCGTCTTCTCCCTCGTGTGCTTTCCCTCATTCAGGAAACTATGCTGAGTCCAGTTCAGCAATGGTTTCCTCTACTGAAACTACTCCAGTCCTCTCCTCCTCATTCTATACCTCTGTCATGCTTCCCACTCTTTCAACCTCACTCTGACTTCACATGCAAGTTTTGTCCAGTCCCTTGTAAGATATTCCAAACTCTCTTCATGTGTAGCCTTCTTCCTTGTTCTGTTTGTTCTTCTTCCCTCCTTATTTACATACAAAAATGGTCCATATTCTATAGTTAGTCTCAGCATAATGCAGAGACTAACCATATTCTATAGTTAGTCTCTGCATTATGCTTTCTCCCCTTGCAGTCCTTCTATTCCCATCTTTCTGAATTACTACAAGGCTTGAATTCGATGACGAGGAACCCACTTTGAGACTAATAATGGTTGGAGATGGCTTTAATGTGTAATGAAGAAAACTTTGATATAAGTACCTTGTTGAAACATTGTACATTTGCTGTTATGTTAAACTTATATTAAAGTTTTTCTTCATTACCCATTCAAGCCATCTCCAACCATTATTATTACAAGGCTGCTCAACCAAGGCTTATCACTTTTGACCATTGCTAGCTACAGGGCAGATCTACTTAATACTTTTAAGTTTTCCCATTATCATAATTTATTCTCCTCTCATGTCCTTTCTATGCTCTTTTTGTCACCTTTGTCCTCCTCATCCAGCATTCCATCCTGATTAGGATCTGAACATAGTTCTCCACATCCTTATCCTTCTTCTCTTTGAACCTTTAGTCTCTTGTTCCTTGTACCATCTTTTGTTTAAGTCCTATTTCTTACTTTTGCCTGTAGGAGATCTGACATGTATGCCATTAATGCTTCCCATATTCTTTTCCATCATTCTTATATTCATCATTATTCTGCTCATGTTTTTCTCCCTCAAACATATATGGTTCGTGAAGAGGACAACATGGTCACTCCTATTTCCCTTCCATCCATCCATTCTCATTCTATTCTGGATCTTTTCTCTGTCCCATCCATGTAGTTTGTTATTTGACTCCCAATGCTGTTTTCACAGTTCACGCTCCTGTCTATTTATTATTTGGAATTCCTCATCTCCCCAAGATATTTCTCCCATTACTCTCACAGGATAGCTACAGCAGCTCATCCATCTAGCCTATGCTTCATGGATGTAGATTCACATCAACTCTTTCAGGTCTCCTTTCACCACATCCAACATCCTACTCTCTCTCTGGCTGTTCACTTTCATCAAGTGTTGGAGGAAATTGTGCAGGTTAGTATGTGGATTACCCCACATACTTTTGTTGCACATTATCTTCATCACCTGGCTGTCTCATCTTCTTTGGGATATCAACTTCCTCCTGACAACATTTTACATACACCTTACCAGCTCTGACTAGGTAAGTTATTTTTCTTTCTCTCTTACTTTCACAGGGGTCCTAGTCTATGTCTTAGGTTCCCACTGAGTGGCATGCAGTGCATACCAGAGTATACTTATATTTAAATCTACACTATCCAGCCATTTGGGTCTGTAATGCTAGCTGATGGGATGGGGTTTTCCACAAGACTCCTAGAGGTTTTCTTGTGGTATATATTTGTTAAACAAGGCTGGATCCAGACCGTACCTACTCATTGACTATCATTACTGGTCTTATTTTAAAAATAAGGATTCATGGTCACTCAATGCACTGTCTTAAGGTGTTGCATTCCTCCGAGCTCTCCAATGCACTTTCACTCTCCCTTTCTTTGAGTGGAGTACAGGAGTCCTTACCACTCACCAGTTACTAGCCACTGGAGTGGTGGACCATAGAGGCTTCCTCCTGAGTGTGACATTACCATGCAATTGAGAGTAGGGTGGTGGCATTCCAATGGTGTAGATGGTGTGAACCCTCCTCCTACTACAGAATGAAAAATTTCTGATGCCACCTGATTTTGGACTGTAGATGACCCACCAAGTACAGTTCACCCTTCTGGCTGGCTTTTCTCCATCCTACTGATGCCTGGATGTCAGTTCAAAGGTGGTCTGGTGTTGGATAGGCACAGGACCAGGCAACACAAGTCCTCACTCATGTGGTTGGTAGGGATCCACTTCCTACCACAGACCGGACAAAAAATAACCAATGCCACCTGGTTTAGGGCTGGAGTTGACCCACCACATATGATTTCACCCATCCTACCATTGCCCAGATTTTAGGTTTCAGGATGGCCTGATGTTGGATGTGAGCAGGGTCAGTACACATGAACACTACCTAGAATGATGGAGGGAAATTACTTTTCCCTTCTGCTTCCTGGAGGTGAAGATGGTTGGGACCCTTTTCCTACCATGGACTGGATGAAACATTCTTGATGCCACCTGGTTTTGGACTGAAGTTGGTCTGATGTGCTCTAGCCACACTATACTGTAAGGCATATCCATTTTTCATTCTATGATTTTGGATGGTGCTTGTTTCCTGCCCAACTTAGCAACACATATCTTCATTACAGGCAAAGAGTATACTCTGGAAAAGAATGGATGTAGTCTTCCATGGGTGTGCTCCTACATTTTCATGATATAAAATGTCATGCTCCATGGGTTCTCTTTGGGTGCTTTCCAAATGGGCTCATCTAGGTAACTTTTGCACAAATCCCTCCACCATTTCAATGTGAAATTCTAGCTAATTTGTGAGCAAAAGTAATATATCTTATCGGAAGTTAACATTTTCCAACACTGAAAATGTATTTCCAATAGATACTTACCACTGCTCATAATTTTCACCCATCCTCCCCACTTCCAGTGCATCTATTCTTGCCTAGTGTTGAGGTGATGATTGAACAATCAGCATAGAGGGAGTCAGCTGTGCTAAGTGGGTGTGTCTCACTTCTATTGGTGGAGGTTTGTCGTATGCTCATTTTCATGCTACAGTGCAGCAACAGCATGTGGACACACAAGTTTATGTTGGAGTCTCAAGGCTAGTGGTGAACAAAAAATTGCATACAGAGGGCAGCACAAAAATCAGGAAAAGGTAATATGTGGGTAGAATTAAGTATCTATCAGAAGTACATTTTCAGTGTTGGAAAATGTTAACATTTGTTTTAAATAGAGTAATAAAAAAATAAGCAACCCGCTAACCCCTAATTCTGATTTTTATATTTCCCATGTGTATAACTAAAAGTTGTCAACGTATGAAACATGGTGGCAAATATATATCATTGCTGTACATATATGTTGCTTATTTCTAGCTCAAATATTTTGAAAAAGTAATTAATTTTTGAAGTTGATGATATCAAAAACTAAAACTTCAACTATATGCACTCTTTGTTTTACAACTTCAAAGTTTTTAAAGTTAACAAAATGATAAATAATAGTAGGACACCACTTTAAGCTGAATCATTATAGAGCTAGTCTCCTTGACAGATCTTTTTTCACAAGAGAGAAAAATAGTATGAAAATCCATAATTCTCTGAACACTACTTTTTCATACTAATGGTAGTAGTGCACTGAATAATATTTATTTAATAAAATAATGCAACAAAGAACATAGAATAATGCTATGCAAAAAGTAGACAATGTCCTGTAACTATCAAAATTTTGCTGGCATTTCTAGTGATCCAATATGAACTGCTAAAATGTCATCCATCTACATAATATTGTTCTCGTGGAAAAAACATTTTCTTAGGAAGCAATCTACAAATCTCTATACAGAAAACAACATAATATAATACGTCATCTGATAGATGAAAACCTTGCCTGTTTATTGGTTATAACTAATACAGTCATAAATGTAAGAGAGAACTACATGTATTGACAAATTTTGAAAGAGGGGATGTGACAAGTGGGCATGGCAAGAGGGGTCTGGTTTTCTATTTGATGACTGTAACCAAACAAGGTTGAAGGCTAATAAACATTAGCTTTTTTCCAGCGATGTCAATATTATAGTGAGTAATTTATGTCAAATTTACCAGTACATAAATAAAGCACATCATTCACAGGTAAGAAACAATGCCTTCAGTTACATATCTCCATATATTTAATGTTAAAATGACCCTGTTTAGAGCTGATTCATTTAGAGCTCTGTTCTCAGGAACCCTTCCTGAGCACTAAACGGGGTACTACTGTATATTGTTTTCACAGTTTATTTGCCATAAAGCTCTTTTTTCTTCCTTATATAGACTGTACATTTTTATTCTTCTAGTTATTATACTTGAAACTTTTCTTGATCACATGCCTTCAACTAAATTAATTATATCACAGTTTTATATTGTTGTTGACTAAAAGAACATGACTGATTTTCATGCTTGTATATTTTGTTGAAGTAATTACTTTGAAAGTTGCCTTTTGCTTTGTAACTCAAAACAATCATCTTATGGTGGAGTAAACTTCAGCATAAGTTTAGAAATTTAGTTTTTTTTTAAACAGTTGTATCTAATTTTTAAAAAAAAGTAGTTCAGAGATAACATTTGTAAATAAGATATAGTAAGATAAATATTATTTATTTGAATTAATTTTAATGATATACAAGAAATTTTATAGAAAAATTAATTTCAACCAAGTGTGCTAGTATACAACATCATTATGTTCATGGCTTTCAGATCAAACTTTTTTTTAATGATAAAGCTGCTAAAATATTAAAGTTTACCTGCCGTTATCCTTAATTTTCAACCTCTGACTACAAGGAAGGCAACTAGCTGACAGCACCCGTGGCCACTTTTGGGTTAATCTTTACCAATGAATGTTGGGATTAACCACCACATTATAATGTCTCCAAAGCTGAAATAGTGATCAAGTTTAGCACCAGGTTTCAATCCCACGACCCACACATTATAAGATGAGCACCCTAGTCAACAAGTCCTATCAGGCCTCAGCTCAGTAATTACAGGCCTATCAAATGATGGCATAGTATGTAGCTATGTCACATAAAATGGTTTTTATTTCATTGTAAATTTACCAAAACACTTCATATTTAAAAACATTCAATGGTTATCATGTTTTTTGTTTGAAGTGTACATGTTTGAAATATGATGACATTATGAGTTATTAAATTTTAGAAATGGAAATGTAGAAATGGCAAGTGTAATATCACCAGACTGGAAAGGATTAATGAAATAGGTAATATATCAAAACAAGTAAAACATGATTCAACAGAAATTGAATACATAAACCAAACTCTAACAAAGCTGTACCTTGTAACATGTAAGGCTTTTACAGTATCCCTTGGCAAGTAAAAAGATGTCAGAGTTTTCCTTTCACTCTCCTCTCCCTCCTTAAGAACATCATAAATGGACGGAGGTCTGCTTCCAGAAACTACATTTATTGGTCGAGAGAGGTTAAGATGTACACGTATGAAACCACTGAAGGATACTCCATCTTCTTGCTGTGAAAAATAAGTGGGAATGTTAACTACAGAAACAAGCCCAAAGTATTTTAAATATTTATCTTCACTTCTATGATATAGTGATTCTGTCCACACAAGTTCAGTCAAAGTAATTGTAGAGTATCCTGATTCTAGGATTTCAAAGTGTCACAAAACACACAAGAACAGTCAAAATAACCACAGATTATCCAAATCCTAGGATTTCAAGATGTTGAAACAATATGGAAGTAGTTATAAATCGTAGGCTGTTTTAAGGTTTTTGTTATGTCCATATGTTTTCTTATAGCAAAGCCACATCTTGCTATCTGTTGTGTCCACAAAGAGGAATTGAACTCCTGAGTTTAGCATTGTAAGTCCATAGACTTACCGCTGTCCCATTGGGGAACTTTATTATGTCATTTTCAACAGAGAATACATTTATACACATTACATCACCAACCTAGTTATATTTAATCATGTTAGTTTTATAAAAATTTCTAATGAAACTGTTTTGGACATGCAGTAATTTATGTTTAGCTTCATATGTATGGCTGGATCAAAGTGTGCATGTCACAAACTCTTACAGATGTATTCAATATTTAATTAAACCACTTTTATTAACCCTATTGCCACAGGTATCTGCTACTGTGCATGACACAAGGTTTTTGTGTCTTACATTCAAAATTTTATTAAACTACTTTTTCTTTATGTTATACCAATTAGTATACCCAAAATCTTAGCTAATAATCCATATTTTAATAGTATATAAGTTTTAAGTTCTTAATTCTATAAGGCAATATTTAAAAAATCCTGAATTCCCCTAGTGTGATACACGTGATACATTTCTTCTAGGTATCTTCTCTATTTTATCCATCACCCCTCCAAAAAGTACGAAATTCAATGTAAATGACTCACTATAAAATCATCATTGCTCAGACAAACTGTAATTTCTATAGCCTTCAATTTTGTTTGGTTACAGAGCTATCAAATAGAAAATCAGACCCTCCTGCCACACCCACTTATTCAGGATTTGTTAATATATCTCTTTTTCATTTAATTATATATTAGCTATAACCAATAGAAAGCGAAGGTTTCCATCTATCAAATGATGTATTGTATAACATTGTGTTCTGAACAGATTATCATCAATTTCACTTATAATACATGGTTTATTCCCATGGGAAAGTTAATGACTAGCTTGGATAAATTTGTAACGGCTCTTGTTGCATAGTTAGAAATCCAGAAAAATTTTGAGAGTTAGGGAAAATTGTCTACTTTTTTGCATGTTATTAGTCTATGTTATTTAGTGTATTATTTAATTAAATAACAATTATCTTGTGCATTACTACCATTATTATAAAAAAAGTAGGGTTAAGTCATTGACAATCAACAGCAAGAAAAAAAGAAGATTGGGTAGGTACTTTATTTCTTGTTTTCATGTTTATTCTTTATTTATTATTATAAAAGTAATTAAAATGTAAAAATAGGGATCTCTTTATGTTAGTTAAGGATAGATTGGGTAAAATAAATAATAATAATATAATAAAAATATTTCATGAGGCATACATGCGAGCAGTTCGGAGTAGCTCGTGGGTAATGTAATTCAATAGCATAATGCGAGCTTCATGTTCCCCAAGTGACTTACAATTTATAATGGTACAAATAGTAGTTAGACATGGTTCAAAGGGCAATGAAACAATAAAATTCAATTAGCAATACATGTATACTGTTACAAGTTTAAAGCTATTTCAGATAAATGAATGTAATTTCACACTATATTTGAAGTCATTCTTGAAAGAAAAAAGGGTAATTTAGATTTTTTTTTTGGTGGTTATGAGCTCAGTCAAATTGACCAACCTTGTATAGAATTAAGGTAGAGAAAATTACAGATAAAATATAAAATTTTACTGAAAACAAACATTTGAAATGTATTTAGGAGGTTTTAGAAATCACACAAATGCAATTTGAGATTTTTGAGATGAAGAAAAATATTTTTAATCTAAACATGAAAATCACTTTGCACATGGACTATTCAAAACAAATACTCAATATATTCAAGGACAGATCTATTTTTAGTTTATTAAAGATACTTCACTAAAAAATAAGATTTTTTTTTGTATGGGAAAGACTTATAATGTTACTGAAAGACTGCTAGGTTTCATGAAGATATACACACTATATTAACAGTCAGTAGTATCAAAATCTATACTTTGAACGAGTACAATGACATTATGTGGTCGGTCAAATTGACTGAGCTTGTGCTGAGAAAATTAATCAATGTATCTTGATTAATATGGCATCAAACATAGTTCATAATCCAAATTTTGATATTATCTAAGTTTTATATTTTAATTTCAAAAGGAAATATTTAAATAAATTATCAATCTGCACTTCTCAGCATCACATGACTTGGAAGCACTACGACTTTTCATTTATAGATTTTCTTTTTCTCTTCCCTTACTAGGGATTCAGATTGTTCAACCAAGGACAAACACATGCTATAGATACCAAGTAGTCAGAAAATTTTCAATCTCTTATCTTCTTGACTTTCTCAGATATCACTATACGTGTTCAACCCATATTGACATGCCCCATATCATGTTTTTTTAAATTAAATGTCTATAATCTTCCCTGACATTGCTACTGGACATGTTTATAACCAATAGAAAGAGCAATTTTTACGCTACATAAATCATAAAATTATCCATTTTGTCTGAGCTGTAAATGCCAACAAGTCATGGTGAGAGCTCAATGGTTGGGACAGAAATCTTTCTTAGAGAATAGATGAAATTTTTAGCTTATCTAAAAAAATTAAACAACCAAATAAACTATATTGGTTTTCAGACATTCTAAACTGGTGTTTGATGTATTTGTTGTGTTCTAAAATAGATATTTGAAAGTTACGTGAATTGTTTTCGGACAACCAACACAGCGTTAAAAAAGTTTTACCAAAGATGTTCTCAAGTACAAATAGACCTATGGTAAGTGGTAAATTTCTTGTTTTAATGTATACTTTTTATTTTTTGTTACAATGTTTTTTAACAAAACTAACTAAAATGTACAAATTAGAAATTTATTAGATTAGATAAGAAAAACCTAAATGAAAAAATTATATTAAAATATTTCACCTGGACCAATACACAATTGATGAATATGTAACTCAACAGTTTATGGTAACTTGCACTAATCTCTAACCAGGTAATTTATGGCTTTGTTAGGCTAGTTAGACATGGTTCCAAGAGCAATAAAATTAAATGAAGAGAGATGTTAACTGTTACAAGCCTGGAGCTGTTTGTGATAAATAGCTGTAATTGTCTGTTACAACTTGAAGTTATTCTAGAGCTATGGATGATTTTGCTACAGTTTCTATTAGGGTAGAGAATATGAGAGATAAAATACAATGTTTCAGCAAAAAAAAACTTTTGTTATTCAATAACTCTCAATATGGGCTCAATCCCAGGGACATGTCCACTTTTCCTTGTATATAGTTTTAATACAAAAACTTTAAATACAGTAAGTGTATCTTCACAAAATTTAGCAGACTTTTAGTAAACATTACAAGATGTTTGTACACAAAAAATCAGTTTCTTTAATGAAGTATTTTTTTACAAAAAAAGTGGTCCATGAATATATCAGGACTTTTTCTGACCAGTCCAAGTGCAAAGTGATTTTCATGTTAAGATTAAGAATACTTTTCTTCATCTTAGAAATCCCAAATGTCATTTGCATAATCACTAGAACCTCTTAAATACATTTCAAATGTTTTTTGAGTAAAACTTTATATTTTCTTTTCTTTACCCTAATTCTATAACCACAAAAAAAAAAATCTAAATTACCCTTTTTCTAGAATGACTTCAAATTGTAACATGAAACTACATTTGTTTATCCTAAGTAGCTTTAAACTCGTAACAGTATATATTTATTTATACTTAAATTTTATTGTTTTATTGCCCTTTGAATCCTGTCTAGCTATTATTCATACTATTATAAATTGTAAATCACTTTAATACATGTGGCTCACATTACACTATCAAATTACATTACCCACGAGCTGTTCATGTGCATGCTTCGTGAAAATTTTTTATTATATTATTTATTTTGCCTAATCTAACCTTAACTAACCTAAAGAGTTTCCTATTTTTTACCTTTTAGTTGCTTTTATAATAACAAATACAGGATACACATGAAAAACAAGAAATAAAGTATTCACCTAGGCCTTCTTTTTTTTTTGCTGTCAACTGTTAAAGACACTTAACCCTACCTTTTTATACTAATCATAGTAGTACACTAAATAATTTTTATCTAATAATGCATCAAAAAATATAGAATAATAACATTCAAAAAACAGGCAATGTCCCATAACTATCACAATTTTTCTGGCTTTCTAACTATGTAACAAGACCTTACAAATTTATCCAAGCTAGCTGATGCGTTTCCCTTGTACTGAAAGAGAAATTAACATTTTTCTGTACAGAAAACAACATAATATAATACGTCATTTGATAGATGATAACTTTGGCTTTCTACTGGTTATAAATAATATAGTATTAAATGTAAGAGAACTATTAACAAATCCTGAAAGCAAGAATGTGACAGGTGGGTATGGCAAGAGCGGATTATTAGTTATGATTTTATGATGTCATTTCTTACACTAGGGGAAGTCAGAATTTTTTAAATAATGCATTATACAATTAAGAACTTAAAACTTGTATACTATTAAAATATAGATTATTAGCTGTGATTTTATGCTATACTAATTGGTTTAAAATGAACAAAAAGTAATTTAATTAAATTTTGAATGTAACTCATTAAAAACCTTCTGACATGCAAAGTAAAGGATGCCCACGGCAAGAGGGTTAAAGTAGTTTATATAATTTGTACAAATAAAATATGAACATTGTGAGGTCAGATTGACTTGGTAAATTCACAGAAAAATCTTTAGCAAAAATACTTTATTAAAAATCATTTTTTCTTTTATACAATATACTTGTAATGTTTTACTAAAGGTCTGCCAAATTTTGTGAAGATACACTAAGAAATTTGGAATTATAGTAAACGTTGCTATATATAGCTTCATAGAAACTGGGATAGTACAAAGTGTCAATGTTGTTCACATAGGGCTAGAGCTTGAAGTAAAATATCATTGACACATAATACATTACCACTGTATTCAATTAGATACATCAGAAAATATACAACTAAAGAGAAGCTAGTTGTAACACAGTTACTCACCAAAGATGCCACCCAGACACCACAACGACTTCAGAAGAAAAGAAAGCCCTAACAATAATTGCAAAAAGGGTAGCATATTCACCTTTCTACCAGTTTATAAATGCAATGCTATTGAGGTACTAGGTTGATCACTAAGCACTGTAGTGCTTAGTATGTAAGGATGGACCAGGAAAAAAATGACGGATACATATTATGTATTGCTTATCATAGTTTCAAATTTCTCTTATAACATTCTAAGATACTTTTATAAACACCTAACTTAGGTTTTCTAAAGCTATTAAAACCTTCAGTTTGGCCAAGAAACATCACTAAAGTAGAGAACTGGTGAGTAACGTAACAGTCAAATATTCTGCTGATTATTCTGATTCTGGTGTCAGAAGGGCTAGCTCACCAATGCTTGAAGTTGTTGTGATGATTTACACACCAAAATGTTGCATTTTAACTTTGGCAGTGCAGAAGCAGTATAGCTTTTCACTAACTTCAACACATGATGTGTTCTAGACAACTCATCATGCCAGGCTAAAACTGCTGCCTTCATAGTGACTGTCATTGCTTAAAAAAAAAAAGAGAAGCATGTAATAAATAAAATAAGGATGATGTAGGGATGGCAATGCCAAAAACAACATACAGATGAATACACAAAACCATACAAAAATCCCTAAATAAGTAGTCCCTAAGTCAATGCTACAAGCTTATGGGATTTAGCCATTGTAAGACTTTATAGCATTATTCAGTTTAAATGCTTTTATTCAAACCTGAATTCAAACAAGTGAAGAAATTCAACATTTAGTTGTGGATAAAAGTTTTTTTTGGAAAGATTTGACTACTTATATAGGTATTTTTATATGGTTTTGTGTATTCATACCTACCTTGTTACTGTATCTTTTCGCATTGCCATCCATACATCATCCTTATTTTTTTAATTTCTTGTATTTAATCATACTATGAAAAACTGCAAGTCCTGACTCAAAATGCGAAATACAAAAAAAAAGAATGAAAAAAACCAAACAAAGATAAACGTCAAACATGGAAAAGTGGACTACTTAAATTATCACTAGTCTCTACAAAAGAAAAAAATTAAAGAGAAAAGAAAACAGTCCTTCTGAAGTAGCAAAATCCTCCAATTTATGAAATCCTAAAAATTGTGCTGATTCAATCTTCTCTCAAAACTACAACGAGCAACAGAACACCAAAAGTTTTAGAACTGAAGTGAAGAATATGCCTGAATAAACTAGTGAACTACTTGCCAGTGTATTCTGCTAGATATCAAAAGAAAACGAAACTGACACTTATTTCCTGCACTACAATGTTTACTACCAACACCATCTTGAAACTTACAACCATTTGTCAAACATCACATACTTTCAACTACAGAATTCCTTTTATGAACAAACTGAAGAAACAATGAGTTCCCTTCTGATACCCATTCTCAGTGACATATTCCAAGGAAGTTTGAAAGCAAAGCTTAAACACAGACTACCAAAATTATAGGTAGGTGATAAGTTTGATATCTAGCAATTTCCAGACATTAGAATATTGTCTTTTATATCTGAACTAGCATATAGCCTGTCAAAAATGAAAGGGCAAATACTACTACCCCACCCCATAGTATACCCTAACCTCACATTTTAGAGCTAAGTGAAATAAATAAATTTTGCAAAATCAAGTTAGACCAACAAAGAGGCAGAAAATTGTAGATGAGGCAGTCAAACATTCATAAATTCTTTTGTGAGCCAATCCAAATTAAGATCATTCATGAAATGAATTCTTGCCATATTTATAGAATAATTATTGGTAAAAATCAGTTCGTTTAACAACTTCTAATATATAGAAAACCAGTGCATTTGGATAACACTATGTTCCAACAATGAATTTTAGATCATGTTGCTTAGCAACAAAAGTATAACCTAATATTGTTGTTAGTATATGTAAGAAAGTATAAAATGAAATGTATGGACAACAAAACTGGTAAAATATTTGTTGATTTCTTAACTTAGAGTCTACCTTGATTAAAAGAGTTTTTTTTTCTATTAAACACGTTGGTGACATAATGGAAAATAGCTTAATTCAGAAATGATTTATGTTTAAAATTGAATTATTATTTTTACATTCATGATAAATTTTATGCACTTGGCTCTAAGCTAGGTTATCCTGCACTATGTCTTTGCTTTAGGCTTATTGAACCAGCACTCACTACACTTATAAGGTTTCATGGCACCCCCTCCCCTCACAGCACCCTTAAACCCCGTCACTAAAACTGTAATGAGCAGACAGTAATCAAACTATTCTATCTGGATAAATGCATTTTGGCTTTTATGACCCCCCCCCTATTTTGAGAAATCAAGCATGATGTGACACACACCGGTTTTTATACAAGTTAGATTCCAGATATTCCTAAATTAAATTAATTTTACACCTTGATGATCACAGAGCCTTTTCTTTTCTGGATATCATGATTCACTGCCAGGATAACTGACTTAAAACTAGCAGGTACAGAAAGTCAACACACAAATATCTGAGATTCAAGTTGAATCACCCATAAGTCAACCAAAGAAGTTCAATCTTCTCCTTCCTCAACAGAGCATCTAAAGTATGCTGTGATACATCTCTTTCTTCAGAAATAGAACACATCACAACACCTTTCAAAAACTATGGATATCTAAAAACAAATTATCAAGCAGACCAACCAAAGGAACCAATGATAAACTGCATGCCAACATCATCTTCCCATATATTGTACATCCACATTTAGTATAGTGTCCAGAAGATTTCAAAACAATTTCAAGTCTGAATTAGATCCAGTCAAACACTCTGTAATCTCTAACTAGCGTAAAACACCTAACACTTAATATTAAAACCAAAGCAGTTATTAAAAAAATACCACAAAGCTCTAAAGACAAATACATGAGAAACACCATAAATATTTTGAACAATAATGAACATAACACCAAAATTCTTTATAACTAATGTAAATCTACACTTCAGCTATTACAGAACATGCAGCCAACACCAAAATACCACAAATCGGAAAAACTGCAAAATTACTACTGAGAAAGAAACTTAAAAAACAACAACAACAACAACCAAAAATATAAAAAAGCTCTATATATTAGAACATAAAAAAAGCTCTCAACTGAGACCATATGATTAAAGAACAATCTTTAGATTCCACTGATCCAAAATCAAAGCAAAACATACACTGATCAGATACCAGCAGTTTCAAGCACAGAAGACCTCTTTCATATCTGCCTACCAACCTATACAATTACAGACATCACCAGACTGTGATGGTCTGATGAAGGAGCAAGAACCTGATCCACAATCTCAGTCATCTTTCCATCTGCTTAAGCAACTCATTGCAAATAGAATAAACAACCATGTGAACAATATAAAAAGAAACAAAAGAACTTTATTTGTATACAGTGTTTTTCTACTTCAAAATAACTGTTTTGGATTTTGTACAATTTTTCTTCAAACATGCAACAGTCAAAGTATAGAGACATGTACAATGTGATGTAATGAATGATAACATATACATAAATTCTTACATTCATTTTATACAAGCAGCTAATTCAAAAAATAAAAACATGTTTTTTACCAGCGTCATGCCAAGTCCTTGGCATTGATCATTGTATCTCTCAATCCTCCAGTACAATTCTTCTCCTTCCAGATTTTCAGAAAATAATGGGGAATGTCGCCCCTAAAAAATAATCAAATATCCCCAAACATTTTATTCTGACTTTTGTACAACTGGATCTAATAAACTTTGAACAGTTATGAGACTTCATTAGAATTAATGGTTCATCATCTAAATCTACAACACAGGTTCAGTTAGTTATGTTTAAAGTATTTTCACTTGTATAATTAATACTACTTTGTAAAACTTACACAAGAAACTATCTTATGAATCCCATTTTTGCTACATGAGAGTTATAGAAAACTCCAGAGCTGTGAGCAGCTGTAAAGAGGGAGATTTAATATGTAATGGATTTTGTGATACTACAAATCTCTGTTGATAACTACTTGCAATTTGATAGTTCATAATAAATCTGCTATATTTACTTTTGTTTTTCTATAATATGAATATCACAATCTTCAATGATATTGAATATTATCAAGAACCTTCAAATTTGAAGATAAATTTGATTTCGGCTACAAGTTTTAGATTGTTGTGCAATATTCAGTATGAAGCTAGAGCTTTTCCATTTACTAAAGGTAGTAATATTTTACTATAATCATTTCATTTCAAACATCCGTCTTAATTCAAACCACCAATCCTCAGTAGCTTTTTGACATTGACATACAACCACATATACTTATAAGTGGTGGTTTACATTTTATATATATGTCATGAATACAATGAGATTAAAAGTAATTTGTGGCCTATAAAACCATACTAGAAAATTTTAATAAATTAATATAAATATAATTTTTATATAAAATGAAGTCACTGAAACAATAAAACAAAGCTCTAATGTTCCATTTTATTTTAATAGATTCAACTAATATATTTCTTATCATGATTAGTTTACCACTATTATTTTTAGTATAATGCCTCAAAACCCAATTAAGTCTTAACAACAGGGTGGATCAAAGAGAGCATGACCCAATGCATTATAGTTACATACAAAATTAATTTAAACTATATTATCAATGCAAGTCAATAAATTTAGTATGACAATATAGTTTCTAATTAAAATTTAAATTTCTAAGTTTTGTTTTCTTAATTTAAAAAAAAATATAAAAAAATTCTCGACTTTCATTTTTGTTGTCATGCGAGTGCTCTCAATTCTTTCCCTTTTGGTTTTTACAACTTCAATAATATAGCAACTACATTGTCTAATAATGTAAACACAATCTATAAATAATTACAACTTCAAATGTACAGTTTCAACATCCTAGCTTCTCTATTTGCTTAGATATCAATACATCTTCCCAACCCCTGAAAGAAGCCCTGCCCATTTATCCTCAACTTTCAAGGCAGTTTTCAACACCATGTGCTTTTAAATGAAGTATTTGTTTAAAACCAATAGAAAGAGCTTAATTTCTATTTCAAGCATACAACAGTCATTTTAAATTTGGCAGCAACAGACAAACTTTCAGAAGAAGTGACTGATGTATGTGTTGTAAGTGAAATTGATGCTCATAGTATTAATAATTTTTTAACCTATTTACACCTTAATTTGAAAGCCAGTTAAATTATAGTTCGTTTTGGACATCCTATGTTAGTGATTTATGTATTATATATAGTTGAAAATGCATATTTGAAAGATATATATGAATTTTTGTTTTGACAATGAACATTAGAGAAAAAACTATGGCTAAATAGTTATGTGTTTGAGTGCAGCTTTCCATGCATGCAGTATACTGGTCTACAAAATCTGCTAATGTATTTCCACTGTTATGGGTTGCTTTTCAGGGATGAATAAACTGTGTATCGTACAAGCCAGGAAATGAAAACCATAAAATTAAAATAAACTGCATGTGAAAAGGTAAACAACTGAGAATACATGATAATAAAAAAACTGTATCAAAATGACACCTTCAAAGAAGAAAACAATGTATTGTTAATTTTATTTAATATTTTTTTAATTTTATTATATTTTACCTTGATGATTTAACTACATGTTGGTGTTATAGTAGAGAAAATAACAGATAAAATATAAACATTTCATGAAAAAACCTTTGATATTCATTTAGGATGTTTAGAGGGTATGCAAATATAATATGGAACTGTAAGAGGTAAAGAAGTATTATTATTCTTAGCATGAAAATAACCTTGCATTCAGACTAGACAGAGAGAGAGTCAAATTGATTCTGTAAATTCACAAATTTGTGGTGAAAATACTTTATAAAAATTCTGTTTTTTTGTGTACACCACACTTGCAATGATTACTAAAAGCTTGCCACATTTTGTGAAGAGGAATTTAGTAAATTCAGAGTTATAATACGTATAATTTCTTGATGGTTACAATGTCAATCAAAATGACCTAGCCCAATTTCAAAGTTAAATCAATACAGTTTGTGCACAAAATCAGTTCTTTATTATGTCTTGTTATGGATGATTTGACTCAGTTTGAGTTTAGTTCTGAACATTTATTTTATACTATGAGAAATCAGTCAAATGGTAATTTTACTTATTGTAAATTTTATTTATATCAAGAAAATTATACCTCAGTCCTGCTTGGTGTGGAAAGTTTCTTTTCTTCCATTACCACTTCTGTTAATTCTGTTGTGTCTACATCTGTCTTGCAATCTAGCGTGACCAAGTCACGACAAACTGTATGACATGTGTAGTGACAATCTAAGAGAACAAGAAACAGTTTTAGTACAATATAATTTAGAATTTTATATAATTCAAACTTCTTTCCCCCTTAAAACAGTAAGCTTTGAAGTTTATGGAATTTGTGAAACAAACTAATGATAATCTCACTAAAATTCTGAGACACACACTTTCAAGAATGCAATTAAGAGATATGGCAGGTATTTTTGACAAGTTATTTTTACATAAAGGTGTCACTATAATCTAAGTTAATCACTGGAATGTTAATTCATTGCAGTAAGTCATTCTCATTGTGAAAATGTTCAACATTTGGATAAAGTCAACTGCTGAAGAAAAATTATTGAACAAAGTATAAAGTATCAGTATATTGCTTTAACAGTCCTTGATTATTACTAGTTTAGAATATGAAATAACATACAAAACATCTTTCAGTTTTAAAAAATTTAGTGCTGACTGAAGATATTAGAGACGCATTGAATTTTTTTTTACTCCAGAATTTCCATGTTCCAGTTTTACATTTTTATCAAGATACTATACAGCAGTATTTATTCACTAAAACTGTAAGGTAAAGTTTAAAAATA